GGAAGAGGCAGGGGATGAAGACCAGTTTACACTGTTTAGCATTCTAGTTCTACTCACTCTGGCCATAATTGACATCCTCCCTCTAACAGCCCTCAGGATCCGCTGCTTCTGGAAGGAAGGACCTTCAAACCGGAACTCACCTGAGAACTGAGTCTTACTGTGCAAAGCTGAGGTGTGGGAAGGGAGCTAACTGACAACTGAAATTGGTGGTTATAAGTTCCAGTAGGTACCTGCCAATCACAGCAGCATATCAGAGCCTCATTTGGCCCAGAAAGAACTGGAAATTATTAAATAATTCTTGAATAATAATCTGGGCACAGGATAGTCTCCAAGTCAGAGGGTTTAATCACCACGACCATATCTTAAAAAGAAGCCTCAGATTTTTTCTCATACTTTTTGCAAAAGTCAGGGCTTTGGACATTGTAGCTATTGCAGGGGATGCTCACTGTTAAATGGATCATTTAACTAGGGCTAGGTATGAAAAACTGGAGAAGGAAAACAGATGCATCTCTAGTCTTGTCCATGTTTATAAAAGCAACTAGAACAAACATGATGGATGTTGCAACACAGAGCCTACAGCTGCTTGTAGGCATGTTCAGCCTCATCACGGGCTTGGAGGGTTGAGAATTATTCTGTTTCTTGTAAACTAAATTACAACAAGTTGGATAAAAAAATCAATGGACTATTATTTATGTTCCATTTAATCCAGGTGTCTTAATAATGTCTACCTGGCCAAATATAGGATTGATTTTTCATTGCTGTGGGACTCACTTAGCCTCAAATAAAACTAAGCAAAACTAAGTCCAAATTGCCTACTTTCTCCCAGATGTTGGCATTTATAGTGGAAGAGAACACACTAAATTCATACACCAGAGACACAAGGAGGAGGAATTGGGGAGTTTTTGCTGTTTGTGCTTTTGACTAACAGAATTCTTATGATTGCAGGGCAAGCTCGAGATCTTTTTTCGTTTTTTTTCTTAAAGACTGATTCGTGTAGCCCCATCTAGCCTGGGACTTGCTCCGCAGGCAGCCAAGTTTGACGTTGAACTCTTAATTCTCCTGTCTCTACCTTCCAAGTCTCTAGGGATCACTGGTGTGTACCCCTATGACAATTTTGGGAGCTCAAGAGCTTGTTGCCTTTTTTCAAATCTTGACCAGGAACCCAGCAGGTGCTCAGCTAGCCAGCCAAGAAATGTAGCAGAAGATTGATCTGCAGACTAGAAGCCACACTTGCTATTCCACACTAACTTCGGGAGGAAACCCACTGGATTCTAAGCTGGTGGCTCGGACAATGAAACCAACAATTCACAGGTCAAGGAGGGCTGAGGAGAAGAGGGTCATGAAGACACCTCCACGGTTTCACAAATGCCTCCTAATGGGTCTAGTGTACAGTAATATCTGACAATTCATTTCCTCACTTAAATCTTATCTCAACTCCAACTCACATGCAAATTTTGTATAATGTTCAGAGACATCACACATCTCCCACTTAGCTAACATGTAAGCAAACTCTTATGTCAACATACATGTTTGTTCTGTACAGGCCCATATTATAATACAACTGTTATTTATTGAAAGTGCCATTTACACAAAGATTAGTATTATAATTTAGACTGGGATTTATGATGTGAACTTTCTATCTATAAAATAAAGGCACTGGTAGATGCTCCCTCGTCCAGGCACTGGTAGATACTCACTGGTCCAGGCATAGGTAGATGCTCACTGGTCCAGGCACTGGCAGATGCACACTGAGTCCCTGTGTGATAGAATTAGCTCTAAGGGGCAGCTGATCGCAGAATTGTCCTCAGTTCTTCTTCCTGAGTCAGACCCCACATAGCTTCATTGTCTCCTCATTCAGGAAGGCAAATGACCTCTAGCTTTTGCTTCTTCCATTCTTCACATCTGCAGCCTCTTTCATTTGTACTACCTGCCATGTCCTATAGGCATCTTGGGGGCTTTCCTGACACAGGAGGCAGAGAAGCATCAAAAGCTCTAAGAGACACTTGCATGCAAGAAGCTACCATGATGACAATCAAGTCTATTATTTGAGGCTAGCTCATTAACCCCTTGGAAGCTCAAGTTACTCTTTGGTTCTGTGGAATGATGGCTGGTTTGAAGAAAATTAATCTCAGTGGATATTAAACAGCTCAAAGAAACTCTTTTTAAAATGTATTGCCCTACCTCCAAGCCACAGAGGATGCTTTACCTGGTGATGGACAACATATAACCTTTCCTACCATTTCCATAGCCAACCTAGTTACCTATTACTCATACCTTCAAGCCTGGCCCCTCTTTCATTCTCTCTCTAGCCAACTGACTTTTTGTTGTGCTTTCAGACCATTCTAGCATTCACGCAATTAAGTGATAACATAAACCTAAATGGAATAAATATGCAGAAATAGTGGGGTGTTGGTGGCTCATGCCTTTAATCCTAGCACTCGGGAGGCAGAGGCAGGCAGATCTCTGTGAGTTCGAGGCCAGCCTGGCTTACAGAGTGAATTCCAGGACAACCTCCAAAGCAATACAGAGAAACCCTGTCTCGAAAAACAAACAGACAAACAAACAAAAATACACAGAAATACCCAAAGGATCCTGCCTTCCTACCCATGACAACCTTCCCCATTGAGACAGAAGAGCCCCTACTCTCTGGCACTAGGCAACTCTCTATTAGTCGATTTCAAGGCCATATAGTAGCCAATAATATGAAACGCCCAGCAGAGCTGAATAATTTCTGGAAATTGATGAAGTAATTGTAGTAAGAACTCCGAAATGACAGCTATGCTCTAATTGTGTCCTGTAGGTTCCTCCATACTGTCCTTTCAAAGGTTAGATAATATCCCTTTATGTGTACAAGCTGCATTTTCTCCCTCCATTCATTGATTGACAGGTTGGTTTCACACCTTAGCAGTTGTGAAGAATAAACATTCTTGGAGGTTTGGTCTTATTTGATTTGAAGAGGGACTCAGATGTGGGGGTGCTAGTTCGTATGATGGTTCCATTTTTAAGTTCTTGAAAGAATTTTGTCATGTAGCCTAAGCTGGCCTCAAACTTACTACACAGACCAAGATGGCCTTAAACTGCAGTATTTCTGCCTCAGGTTCCCAAGTCTCGAGGTTACAGGCATATATTATTGTGACCTGCTAATTTCATGTTTTTAGGTAGTTCCACACTGTCTTCTATAATCCAAGTCTTCTTCCATTTTTGAATCAGGTTATTTTTGCCATTGAGTGGTAGGAATCCCTCAGATACTTTGGCTATTGACCCTGACCAGGTCCATTGCTTTCAAACCTTTTTCCCTTTCTGTAGGTTGCTTTTTCACTCCACTGTTTCCTTGATGGAAGCTTTGTCTGCCCAGCCTTGTCGGGCTTTGGTCTTTTGTGTGTGTTATTGGTGTCATGGTCAAGAAATCATTGCCTAGACAAATGTCATGTTTAACTCTTTAAGTTGATTATTGTGTGTGGTGTGACATCAGGGTCCAGTGTCACTGATTCACATGGAGACATTCGATTTCCTTAGCACTATTGTTCTAAGGGATTCTCTTCCCATTGTGTTCTTTGTGCTCTTGCTGAGAAGTGTTGCCTGAATATGCATGGCTTTATTGCATCAACATAGACTGATAATTGAGAGCTTTCTTTCTTAGTCTTTTGATGTAACATATCAATTTTATGTAGTAATATACTGTCTTAATTGCTTTACTATAGCTTTTAATACGTCTTGAAATAAGAAAATGTAGATTCTCCAATATGATTCTACTTTCTCAAGATTGCTTTGGCCATTTTTGGTCTATATCAGTGAGTCTCAACCTTCCTAACGCTCCAACCCTTTTACACAGTTCCTCATGTTGTGGTGACCCCCAACCATAAAATTATTTTGTTGCTACATTTTGACTGTAATTTTGCTGTTATGAATTAGAACAGAAATATTCAATATACAAGGTATTTGGTATGTGACCACCATGAAAGGGTTATTTGTCCCTGAAAGGGTCACTATCCATAGATTGAGAACCACTGTTCTATATTTAGGATTATCTTTTCTGTCACGTGAAAAAAATACCATTGGAATTTCGGTGGGCATTACAAATGGATTTGTGTCTCAATTAGGTAGAATTAACATATAATATCTTCTCATTAATGTCTATTGCCAGGGTTTTTAGTTATCACTGTGCAAATCTGTCACTACCTTGGTCAAGTTTATTTCTGAGCCTTTTACCATTTTTGATACTATTTTAATGTTTGTTTGTAACTTCTTTTCTAGATAGTTTGCTGTTAGTGTTTGTATATTGGTTTATATTCTGTAGCTGAGCCCGTTCTTGACTTGAGGACAGCAGTCATGCGTGGTGGTGACATACAGGCAGAGGAGATTCAGTGGGCTCAGAACTGAGTTCAAAGGGAAAGTAGGCACAGGTTTGGAGGACTCTCAGGTCTAGGCAATCTCCAACAAAGACACTAACAAAAATGGCCAATCTGCATTTGATAAAGTGTAAAAGTCAAATAGCATCACTCAGGGCAGAGAATGAGGTTTTTTTTTTTTTGTATGGACGAGAAAGTTTGAGCATGATGTTTATTTTGCCTGGTGAGTTCTGCAAATGACTTTAGCCATTTGGACCACAAGTTGGAAGAGCTTCCCTTGTCTTGATGTTCTGTAGAACCTGTATGTGTCCATCCTTGTGAGGGATGTGATGTCTAGGAACTGGGTATTTAGATGTTCTGGGGAAACAGGCAGGAATGGAAGCCTACACTGACTACATAAACTTTTAAGACCCTCTGTCCTCTAGCTTGCTCTGCCATGGCTCTCTGAGTTAGCCATTGCTTTCTTTGCTCTTTGTATTTAGTGAACCAGATGCTCTTACTGGGGAGCCGGGGAGACGTACTTCCCTGCATCATTGTCATCCTGCTACATATTTTGAGATTTCCTGTCCCAAGCTGTAGTTGTGGTCATATAAAGAGCAAGGTTCAGGGCTGCTTACAGGGCACTGAAATGCTATCCTTGCTGTCTTGGAACAGGTGCTGCCAAATAGAGAGACTCCTAAATTCTGCAGGATGCTTCACAGGTGAGCTACTTCCCTTTTCATGACTGGAGAGCTTCGAAGCAGTGTGAGCCCAGGCTCAGGAAGAGAGAACTGAGTGGGCTATGAATGGACAGCTCTGATCTAGAGGCTTGTTCTAGGCTTTCTAGAATCTGACTGTTCCAGACCCTGAAGAGGTTCATTTTTCCCCCTGCTGGAGGTAAAAGAACAGAGGAGCACAGGTGATAAGACAAATCCTGAGGCCACCATTGCCACTTTGTGACCTTAAGCAAGTCAACCTGTCTCTAATCTCAGTTTCCTCAGATGATGTTAAATGAGATGATAGACACGCCCATTGACCTGTGCTCCTGATGCCCTGCCCGGCATAGAGCACATGCCGGTTCTCCTGTCTCCTGGTGACGTCCAACTCTTTATGACCTTAGCAGAAAGTGGGTTAAAACACGGAAAGAACATTAATATTTCATCTGGAGCCACCACTTAACTTTCTCCATCCTAAAATATTACAGCTTTCCCCCCACCCCCAAAGGGTAAAGAAGGCCCTAAGAAGATTAAAGCAGCATGTAAATTTCAGCTTAGTGTAAAGCTAAGTCCCTTAAGAAACCTCTCTTTGCAGAGAAGCTGAAGCTGGGCTGGGGTGGGGGGTGGAGGCAGCCCTGGGGCAGCTTGCACTAGTGGTCAGCTCTCAGGCTGAACAATGTTAGGACCACCCAGGGACTCACTAGGACGACCTAGGGGTGGCCATGGAGACCTTACAGTTCCCTGCTGAGAAGATGCTTTCAGTCGGAGGGCACTGAAGGTCTCTGCCTGGTGGGAAGGTGTGTGCAGGAAGCTGGGACTCCTGCACACTGGACCCATCCTAGTTTTAAGGCATCGGGTGACTGTGCATAGGATCTTAACCCCAGGGGACACAGTTTCCTCTCTGCCTAGTGGGGGTGGAAAGGATGATTTGGCAAAGTGTCACTTAAGGTAGAGTAAGGCAGAACTTGATAGTCATTCCTTCAGCTCCGGGTGCTGAGGATCATTTACCTGGGTGCATCTGGAACCAATTCAGACATTTGATACGTGGGTTTGACACGATGACTAAGCCGCTAAAGCAAGATTATTCAAATACTGTATCCTGGAAACTTGAAGTGTGTCCTCATCTGACTATCTGGATGGTACTTTTGCTGTTTACATAGGACTGAGCCTCATTCTGCTTAGCTATGAAATGGGCACAGAGCTTATAGCCATATCCAGGATCATGATGAACATCCAATTAAATAATTCGAGAAGAGTTCTCAGTGTGTAGATTAGTCATTAGCTGTTATTATTGTCATTCTAAAATTCTTTGGTTCACTCTGTGCTTATCCTGGATCTAATTGGAGGGTGATTATTCTCTGTAAGCCTCTTCAGTATAAAAATAGGTCCTCTGAAACGTGCTTCTTAATCTTTAAATGCATTCAACTTACCTGATAATATTGTTCAAACACAGATCTGGTTCCTGAGTCTGTGGGGCCTGGGACTCTAAGCAGCTCTTAGGTGCTTTCCAGGCTCCTTGAGCACAGAGATAAACTTTGAGTTGCCTGGTTTGGGGCAGTGGTTCTGGAATTGGGTGCATATAAGATTGCCCTGGGTGGGGCTTTAACAAGTCCTGTCATGACCCCCGGGTTAGACTGAAGTGTCTTTGACACAGGACGGAGCCTCCCAGTTGCAGCTCCCTGGGGGCTTCTAAGTATGCCAAGACAGGACCACCACTCTGGTAAGCTGCAAAACGGAGTCAAAGTGAAGGGCAAGAGAGGAGGAGAGCTCATGAAGATCGCCCAGGCAGGAGCAGGCCTGGCCCTTGTGTTTGGCCAGATTTCCCCGGGTTGTTCCCATACTGATCCAAAGTTGAGACTTCTGTTTAGCATTAGCTGTCCCTTAGTGTTTTCAGGTAGTGTCTTCCTGGACACATTCTCAAACGTATCCAAGGCCAAAAGCATAAGTCCCCGGAAGACTTCATTTTCAGGTGTGTGACCCTCTCACTTTTGGCCTAGCTTGCCAGGGTACCCTTGGCATTTGGTGTGGCAGTGGTGAGCTGAGGGGGCTTAGAGATGGGGAGAGGGGAGTGCAGGGCTTTGAGAGACAACTGTTTGTACCGTGGCTTTGCAAAAAGGGAGCATGCATCTTTGTTTCCTTAAGATGGAGCATGCTGCCAGAATACAGAGAGAAATAACTTAGGGAATGCTATGAGGGCCAGTGAGATGGCTCAGCAGCAAGGGGTGCTTGCCACCAACCCGATGACCCCAGTTTGGTCTTTAGGACCCATGTGGGAAAGTAGAGGGCTGACCTCAGAAAGCTCTCCTCTGACCTCCACTAAAATGTAAAAAGAAACATTTGAACGATGAACGAACAAAGTAGCAAGATGAGGAAGCACAGAGGACTCCAAGGACAACAGAAAACAGAATGGGCGTGATGTCAAAGGAGGGCGAACATGAGATCTTGGTGTCCATAAACAGCCAGGAGGATGAAGCACAGGCCTGGGAGAGCCCCGCAAGGGAGAGAGAGGCAGGAAGGGCCTGTGTCCCATGAAGCTTGAGTGGAGTCGGGAAGGAGTAGAGGCCCTGAGACAGACAGGTAAAAAGTGAAACCCGGCAGGAGAGAAGACAGCAGGGGCGGGGATGAGGGGCTGGGGGAAGAAGGCAGATGAAAGGAGGAAAGAGCCAGAAAGAAGGGGCCAGGGAGGGAGGCTAGAGCTGCCATGAGGGAGGGCATGCTTGTCCAGGGATTTGGGCCTGAGCAGAGCAGAACCAATGTAGGTGAATGGTCAGGAATCTCATGGTGTCTGGAACCGGAAGTTTACAAACTGCTCGATCCTCCTCATCTCAACTATCCTCTTCAAGACAGCAAAGTCCCTCCCACACAACAAATCCACCTCAGCTCAGCACCAGACATCATCTTTTAATACCACAGCAACTTTTTGGCAGCCTTCCCACCCACCACATCCTGTCCCCACCCCACCCCCCACCCCTACCAAGACACAACTGGACTGAACTCTAGGCATTTCCTTTCCAAATGTGGACTCAGCCTCCTTGTCCTGCAGACCCTCACTCTTCCAGGGTCACAGCTATTGTACAAATAACTTTTGTATAAGTTAGGGACAGGAGCCTGACTGGGGTCCTGGGTAGATGATACAGGGAAGGCTGTAGGTGAGAAAACAAAACAAAACAAAACAACAAAGAAACTGATCAAACTTAGCCAGGAAGGAGCTCTCCTGTGCTGGGGCAGCACGTGGAGCTGTCTCCAGAACTCCAGGGAAATTCTTCACAGGGACATCTCAACTGAGTAAAGTTATCAAAGTGCCTCGGGAAGGTTTGGGTCAGCACAAATATCCCCTGCTCCAGGCATGCATTTCGGAAGAAGGCTGGTAGAAGGCGAGGTGATTCCAGGGGTTTGAACGGGAGCAGGGGAGGGAAGAGGGTGGCACTCAGTATTGTGGAGTGTTTGTCCCAGATCAGATGAGGCAAGAAGAGACAGGAAGGGTCAAGCTTTTGGTCTCAGGCAGGGACAAAGCAGAGTTAAATGTGCCCCTGAGAACTGTGATTCCAGGAAGGTGAGACTGTTTTTTACTGGGAGAAAATTAGGCCCCAATGAAGCATTTGTAAATGACCTGTTCCTGGTCACAAAATCGAAGCTGGAACCATAACCTGATCTCATTGTGCTGTGATAGACTAGGTGTTCTACGCACACTTCAGTCTGATGTGTAAGATTTTCCTTGGGGAACTCGGATCTATCCTTGCCACTTGGTAAAGCCAGAAAGGACTAAGTTTGGCTCGACATAGATAATGTCCTTGGTTCTTTAAAGAAAAAGATGGCTTAAGCATGTCTCTTTCCTCCAAGTCTTCACAGGCGACCAGGTCACTATTTAGAAAGCTAAACTCAAATTCCCCATTGGCTGTTGTCTGACAGGGATTTCCAGAAAACACTTCTACTAGAAGAAGTGCAGGGGGGGGGGTGAAGATCCTTGGGCTTTTGTGGGAAATGGTGACTCTGGTCAGTTCTTAGTCACCAGCTGGGACGTGGATCAAGCCGGACTATTGCCAGTGCTATTGTCTGCACTCCCACTTGACTCCGTGGCAGGCTCGCTTAGGACAGAGAAAGGACATTTCCTTAGTGTTTCTCCACTCTTCCTGTCTCTTAGCTAGGTCTCTTAAGGCGGGTCCTAGAGATGGCCGTGGGGAGATGAGAGATGGAAAACTCCACGCTGTAGTCATAGCCACCGGAGCACTTACTGGCTGAGCCATCAGGAAGTGCATGGCTTGATGGCCCTGCCTGGGACACACCTTCATTAGACTGCAGAAGAATGGAAGAGTTGGAGAAGGCTTCCCATGGCTGAGATAGCACCGAGAGAAGATCCAGAGCCCTCATCCTCTCAGCTTTCCAGAGAGACACTGGGAGAAGAGGGAAACAATTATCTCCCTTGGACTTTCCTTCATCTTGGCCTGAGGCTGTGGGGAACTTGGTTTGAAGCCCTCAGATCTGATAGGAGTCCAGCCAAGGTTGAATCATCAATGGGACACTCAAGATCTATCTTTGGAGAAGCCGATTAAATTATTATTATCTCTGCTGATAAGGTTGTGTCTCCTTGAAGTTTTTCTCAAGGAAGATAATATGAAAAATGACCCTTCTCAAAGTGTTCCCCAAGACATCTGCCTTTTATTAATAACAGTTTGAAAGTCTGATTGACCATCCCTCCTTCCTTTTAGAGTCTTGTTGTTAGAACGGAAGTCCTAGAGCATCAGGGTAGAGTCACACCCAGCATCCCAGAGGTGGACCCTTCTCCTGAAAGTCTAGGGGAGGGCTGCTTCCATTTTCAGTTCTCCATCCAAGGCCCCACACACTCTTTGGTGGCCTAGCACCTCTTCCTGGTGACTGCTTACTCTGTGTGTAACTTACAACAACCAATGGATTTGGGTCTATGGATGTTAGCTCTGGAGAAAACATATTTTGATATTTGATCACAAACAAGTATCAGAATCCCACTAATTACTAGTATTAAGAAACAA